TCAAATTGCATAAGTTTTATACTTGTTAAAATTTCTTTTGTATTAGTTCACAAAAAGCATTTGTGTTTGGCTTGTATCCCCCCTGAATACATTTAAAAACTCTAAAAGCGTAGGGGTATGAACTCACCTCGAGTGAGTGGTTTGTATGAAAGATCGATATGAGATGCTGAGTGTCAGGTGAAACCTTGAACACAATTGGATCCTATTTAACATGTAATAACACATATAGGAGTCAAATTAGGGTATTTCACCACTAGACATGATAGAAAACCACTCTAGGGACTTGGAAACACTTGAACTAAGTGTCAAAATCATATGTGATTGCATGAGGGAGGTGTACGGCCACCCTAAGGGTGTGTACGACCATGGGTGTGCGGCCCATGAGTGTATGGTCGTACACTCATGAAGAGGTGTGTCTTTGAGGTGTTTCCAAGGTTCTAACTAGCATCCAAGAAGGGTTCTAGGTCCCATACATAGATGAAACGCAAGTTTGAGGCCTAAAATGATCGTCAAGGTGGGTTTACGGCCCCAAGGGGTGTGTGCGGCCGTACAAGGGGTGTGCGGTCGTACACCCTTCATGTTTATGCCAAATTTGTCGACTTTAAGGTGAATCAAGGCTAGGGTCATGTCCAACTTGAAGATAGGGGTCAAACTCTCACTTTGGAGGGCCTTTAAGGGGGTGTACGGCCAACCTTATGAAGGTGTGCGGCCGTACTCCTTCAAAGGGTGAAGAACATGATGAAACTTGATGAACCAAGGCTTGAATCAAGAAGTCTTTCAAGTATAACAAGCTAGAGGATGGAATACTCACGTTTTTGAAGCTTTGGAGGGTTCACGGTTGAAGAAAATGGAGTAGTGTGCAGCCAAGAGAAGAAAGGAATGAAGGAAGGGGGTCTACTCATATATATAGGGGTGGGTGACCCACCACCTTGAGTGTGTGGCCATGAGGGGGGGTGTACGGCCGTACACCCATGTGTGCGGCCGCACACTCCTCCAAAAGGGGTGTATGGCCCGAATTTCTACTTTACGACATCGTTAACTCATCCCTAATCTCAATCTTGGTTGAACTCAAGCTTAGAACACTTAGACGAACCCTTAAACAGTGCTAAATGATAACAGGAACGAGTTTAACATTGATTAAATTGAATAGTTGTACAAGATAAAAGTTCTGGGTTGTCACATTATTGGAGGTAAAAAGCTTCAACCTTGACCATTGACCTCTTAGATCTCTAGTTAGGGTTCGTTTCTACATTTCTAAACTTTTATAAGAGCCATATTCGAGATTGTGTGGTTCTAAGAGGGTATGACTTCAGATCTGGAACCATTGAGGGTTCTTATGGCACAAAGGTGCCAAATTTGTTGTCATAAGCACCCCATGCATCTTGTAGACTCCATTTAGGGCTATTTGGGCCAAATACCCCATGCATGGACGTCAAGTTTGGGACTTTACGTGTATTATGGACCCTAGGAGGTCAGATCTATATTTTGGATGCAGTAAGGCCAAATGAAATCGAGTGTATAGTTTTTGACATAGAGGGACTCAGCGAGTCACTCATGTGACTCGGCGAGTCATGACGCATTTCCCACCAAATCCCTTTTGATGATGGACCATGTGTTAAGTTAGAAGAACACCCAGTCGGTTGGGCTCAGTAAGGACCTGGGAATCATGGGACTCGGTGAGTGTATGAACTAACTCGGCGAGTTCAAGGCTATGTCCCAAGAGTATGAATATGGACTCGGTGAGTCAAGGAAAAACGCGGCGAGTCCAACACTAAGAGCATCACCTTGCATGAAGATGAACTCGATGAGTTCATGAGGAACTCGACGAGTCAAGGACTAGACGTCCCAACTGATGGGTTTGAGCCAAAAAAACATCCTATGTGCTCATGCAAACCCTAATGCTTGGATCTAGGTTTCTCTATTGTACATGCAATTCATCCAAGACTTATAAACCCTAGATCTAGAATACATATTTTCGAAATTAACATAAGAAATCAGATCTAGATGATTACCTCTTCTACAATGGCTTGAATCTTCTTGTCTTGGAGCTTAGAGTCACAAATGTCACTCCTCTAATGGCTTACAAACACCACACAAGCAAGACGATGATATTGGAGAGGGGGAGAGGCATAATTTTGGCTATAGAATTCTCTAGGGTTTCAAGTGGCCGAAATATGATGCCCTAGGGGTTCTATATATACTTGTGCTGCTAGGGTTTCAGTCAAAACCCTAACGGACAACTTAGGCCTTAAGTAATCCAAGGAAGCTTCTGGAATAGGGCCTTATGGCCGAAATTAGGATGGACACATCCTTAATTTCGTCCAATCCAAGTCCATAAGCCTTCTCAGCCCAATACTCAACTATCACACATTTGACAGTTTAAGTCCCCGTTTTACTAATTAATGTCTTTTAGTTACATAACTAAATCTTAATTAATTGTCTAATATTAATTAAACTATATGATTTCTCCTTTAATATATTATTCATATAATATATTAATAAACCATGATAACCTCTCTCTTCATAAATCACCCTGTCAAGTTGCTCTGGTGAAGTCAACCCAAAAGGACCATGCACAACCGGGTCAAGTATTTACCAAATATAGTTACGGGCTTAGATACTAATCCAACAGTCTCCCACTTGGATAAGTCTAGTAACTACAAATGTAAGTGCAATCCGATTAGCAATCGTAGCTCTCAAAGACGCTGTTGAACTCTGATCATATCAGTAACCTGTCCTTTAGATAAGGGATCGTATAGTCCTCCGTTATAGATATCATGCGTACAAATACATGGAACATAGTCATACTTATTAAACAATAATTTGCCATATTATTTGTAGGATTCATTTCATATATATTAAACAATTTTTTAATTAGTTTTTGTTATATAAATACTTATACAATTGTCTTGATGGATATTTAGCAAGAAGGGTATGCAATGATATATATATATATATATATATATATAATATATATATATATATATATATATATATATATATATGCAATGATATATATATATATATATATACATATATGTTCATTTGTTTAAAGTAAGTATTGTGTTATTGTATACATAAATGTGGGCCAATCAAAATTAAACAAAAAATTAAATAATTAAATAAATAAATAAGGGTAATTTAGTAATTTGTTTAGTAACTTCCAAAATTAATCCCTATAATCATGGTATTGACCTAATCTCTCCAATTTAAATCTCGTTCCCGATCTGCAAAATTAGAATGGACTACAAAATCGATCTTGAGTTCTACAAAAATCGATTGCCATCGCCATCTCCAACTCCAGCACGTCGACCGAATCCGATTCGCAATCCCCCAAGCCTCTGTAATCTCTTGCGCAGACCACTCACTAGTTCCCCAATAAAACGCCCAACCTTTATCGATCACATGATTCATAGCCCTAACTGTTTCCTCAATCGGCGTTTGCAAATCCGGTCGATGACAATAAATCAGATCGACATACTCCATATCCAGTCATTTCAAAGAAGCTTTAGTCCCCTCGATGATATGTTTCCTGGATAAACCCTTGTTGTTGGGTCCCGGACCTCCCCAAAACAGCTTAGTAGACACAACGATGAGCTCCTCTTTGTTATTAATAAGTGTAACATTCTCATGTAATTCTTAACAATTGTTACCCGTATTCTATAAGAAAATTATGTATTTTTTGTTTTTATTCTTCAATTGATTGTTCAAAAATTTGTTATTCTACAAGAAGTTGTTAAAGTCATGATCAAGAAATAAGTTCAAGAATATTTTTATTATTTATGGTCTAAGAATATTTTTATTTTGAAATATACTCATAAACATATTCTGTCAGAATGTCCGAATTAAAAGAATTATAATTCGTAAAATCGGATTTTTTAAATTAATAAAATCTATGATCCCTTAAAAAATGCAATTTTCCTTTAATAAATCTATATTAATTGACTAAATTACCCTTTTAATTAATTAAGATGATATTTTTCAATTATATTTAATTCAATAATATATATTAATTACTTTCTATAAATAAGTAAATTTGATTGGCCCACATTTATGCATACAATAACACAATAGATACTCTAAACAAAATAACCTAAGCCTATATATATATATATATATATATATATATATATATATATATATATATATATATATATATATATATCTATATATAATATATATATATATAAAAGGTGTATATTTTCATTTTACAAACCTTGAATTCATTTGCGAGTTGTGGGTGTATACGATAAGAAAATCATTTCTGGTCGGACTAGACACGTTATTTATGGAGTTCAATGATGCCTTTGGTATGGAAATTTGCCAGATCAATTCAAACCGCGTGACTGATCGACGCGAGACAATGTTTCTGTTCTTGAAGATGTTGAAAATTATAACGGAATTTGAAAATACTATTATTGATTTCATATTTCAGGCCCTAATCTTGGTTATATAGTTGCTCAAAGATCATTTGCCTCAAACTTGCCAGCTTGAAGGCCTATATATATATATATATATATATATATATATATATATATATATATATATATATATATATATATATATATATATATATATATATAGGAGTAGGATCAAATGAGAACACCTAAAAGGTTGAGAACGCGAGAACACATCTGAACCATTTAAAAAACTAAATCTAAGGCTATTATCGAATGGGCCATTTATGTAAATTCTTAAAATTACAGGAATTAAAGTGTAACTTTAAAACTATCATAAGGGTAAAATGGTAATTGATTGTTTACCTATGTTTAGCAATTCCTACAATCTCTCTCTCTCTCTCTCTCTCTCTCTCTCTCGTCTCTTTCGTATCTCTCCCTCTATATCCCTGCTTCTGAATTTGTCACAACCCTAGGGCATCCTCTCATTCCAGCCGCCGCAAATACGCCAAACTCATCGCCTCTCACGATAAACAATCACACCATGTGATTGAGCTCGTGAAGGGGATCATCGAAGGGGAGACCCGTGTCCTCGCTGCGTCAATGACCATGGAAGAAATTTTCAAAGGGACGAAGGATTTTAAGAAGGAAGTGTTCGATAAGGTCCAATTGGAACTTAATCAGTTCGGATTGTTGATCTACAATTCGAATGTGAAGCAGATGGTCGACGAACCTGGACAAGAGTATTTTTCGTATTTAGGGCAAAAAATCCAACAGGCAGCTGCAAATCAAGCTAAGATTGATGTTTCTGAAGCAAAGATGAAGGTAATTTTATGTTTCTTAGGTTTTTAATGGTAGATACTCAGTTTCTGATTCACGATTGATTGTTGTTTAGGGTTAAATTGGATCCAAGCTTCGCCAAGGCCAGACGCTTCAGAATGCAGCGAAGATAGACGCAGAGACGAAGATCATAGCGACATAGAGGCAAGGACAGGGGGAAGAAGGAGGAGATAAAGGTGAAAACGGAGGTGAAGGTGTTTGAGAACCAGAGGGAGGCTGAAGTGGTTGAAGCAAATGCAGAGCTCGTGATGAAGAATGCAAAGTGGGCCAAGGATTCACAGGTTACAAAGGTGGAGTCAAAAAAGGCGGTGGCGCTCCGGGAGGCGGAGCTGCAGAAGGAGGTTGAGATAATGAACGCGTTGACTCAGACGGAGAAACTCAAGGCTGAGTTCTTGAGCAAAGCTAGCGTTGAGTATGAAACCAAGGTATCAAACATAACACAAATTAATCGAATACGATTAATCACCTATGTTTCACGAAATTGAATTTCTATCGGTTTGATCTAAACAAAGGTACAAGAGGCGAATTGGGAGCTTTACAGAAAACAGAAGGTCGCTGAAGCAATTCTGTACGAGAAGGAGAAACAAGCGGAGGCTCAGAAGGCGATGGCGGAGGCGACACTCTACTCCCGCCAACAAGTCGCCGACGGTGAGTTATATGCAAAACAGAAGGTAATGATTCTCTTCTCTTTTCTTTTTATTTTGACTATAAATCAATGAAGTTTAATAAATAGGTTTAGATGGGTGTTTGGGTTTGGTTGTTTGACAGAAATTGATAGAGATGAAAAGAAGAACAACAAAAATTCCCTTTTCTTTGTTTGTTTTGATAGAAACAGATGAAGGTATGGATATTTGGGTGTTGATGTTTTACAGTGAATCGGTGGGTTTTTGTTTCTTGATCATCCATATCTCACAAAAAGATTTTATAATTATACATATTGATTTTACCGTGGAGTGTTGATTTTGTTTGAGTGCTAATCTTTGCTTGAGTGTTCAGGAGGTAGAATGGTTGCAATGGGAAGACCAACTGGAAAAATTTCTGAAGAACAGAGGCAAAGAAAGAAACACAATCCTAATTTTCGAATTTTTTGGTAATAATTTCTTGAAGGGGGTGCGTGAATGGTTGTACTTATTTATGAATAGCACGTGTATTCATTTATGAATAACATTGTAGTTATGTGTGAATGGTTGTATTCATTTATGAATAGCATGTGTATTCATTTATGATAGAATGTGTATTAATTTATAAATAACAGTGTATTCATTTTGTGAATTGCAATGTATTCGTGTGTGAATGATTGTATTTCTTTATGAATAGTTGTGTATTCATGTGAATGAATGTATTTATTTATGATTAGAGGTATTCATTTTATGAAAAAATGATAATTTTTACACTATTTTTTATTTTCAATTTATGAAAAATGCATTGAATTATTTGTAATTTGATGTGTTTTCATTTATGATTGGAAGTGTATTGATTTGGGATTGAATTTCTATTCATTTTTTTTAAAAACAAAAACGTGAAATAGTAGAAAATAATATTTTTTCTAAGATTTTCTTTTCAGATTTAAAATAAAAGGAAATATTAATTTTTTTAGGTAATTTTTTTTGAAACGGTCATAAATAATTTTTGGGAAAAATCATAAAAAAAAAAATTTATATATATTTCATTAAGTAAAAGGAAATATTAATTTTGTTAGATAATTAAAATCATTATCCCTAGATTTTAGGAAATCATTAATTAATATTTATATAAAGTTACTAATATACCCTTATAAAATAATTGGTCCAGAACTGTTTTCGCGTTCTCAACCTTTTAGGTGTTCTCATTTGATCCTCTCCCTATATATATATATATATAGATATATATATATATATATATATATATATATATATATATATATAAATATAAATATATATATATATATATCACTGCTCAATCATCTTCACATATTTTTACCTACAAATGCAGGTGGATTATATGCAAATTGCAGAGAACAATGATGTACTTTACTCTTCGTACCAACATGGGCAATTAACTTTACTCTTCCCAAATTTTTATACAAAGTTCTAATAAATGTAACAAATAGCAACGTACTTACATTTATTTGTGTATTATAGCATTCTTCTCTTATTTCTTTATATTAAGTCATTGCACAATGAAAATTCAATCAATCACAACATTATACATTCAACTTTCCCCGATCCCTCGTTCATGCTTAAGCTCTTATTAACTACATTCTTGGGCCGTGCTCAGCACAGCTTGAAAACATTTTCTAATATATATATATATATATATATATATATATATATATATATATATATATATACTAGATTGGAAACCATGAGAACTACGAGTTTATAAGATAACGAGACCTGATTCATTATTTTATTTTGTTTTTTTTACAGAGAAAACGATTAAGATTATTATAAGATAATATGATATAAATAAAAAAATTATTATCTTTTAATTAATAGGAAAAAAAATCCTATAGATCTAAAAAATAATTAGTTATTTCAACAATTTTTTATATGATTTGCGTAGAATTATCCCTTTCAAACGTAACAAGAGATCAATACTTCAAAGGTTTAAGTTGTAACTTTGGAGTTAGTACCTCAAAATATATAAATTTTTATGGACGACATTTGAAATACACAAAAAACCAACAATAATATATTTTGTAACATCCCAATTTTCAATGCCAAAAATTTTCATTTTTAATTAAGTGATTTATAAAATAAATTGTCAAGACATTGCCAAAATCATGTTAATACATAGAACCATAGTATCATGTCTCAAAATCATATCATCTGAAGTAACAGAATATCAGAGTACAATCCCATAAAACTCTAAGCGGAAATCATAAGAGTGTGTGTGTGTGACGCGCTGCTACACCGCCGGCTCCTTCCCCTTAGACGAAGAGGTACCTGAAACAAAACTAAAACTGTAAGCACAAAGCTTAGTGATCTCCCCCATCATACCACATACAAATCAATATACATATTGTCGGGCAATTCTGGGGCGCCCGACCTACCCATGTCAAGCCATTCTGGGGTGCTGACCTACCCATGTCAAGCCATTTTGGGGTGCTGACCTACCCATGTCAGGCTATTCTGGGGTGCCGACCTACCCTCCGGTCTATCTCAACCGATCACGGGGACTATTTCACCCCCTACCGCTAGCATACAATACCATATCATAATCATACTGTCAGACATATTTGGGGTGTCCGACCTACCCATTGGTCCTAACGACCGAATCGGGACTAGTCCCCTCCTACTGGTACTATCTCACATAACATAACATACTAGCATACACACATATCAAGCAATAGCAAACCAGACAATTATCACAAAGACAATCATCTCAACCAAACAGCTGCTAGTGGGCCGGCCTTGGTGCCTTAGACCCACTCCTACTGGAAGGTAACCCACCTCAATGTCGCGTAGTGTCTGTACTGATCTCGATGTGGAAATTGACTCTCCTCGACTCCTTAATCCCTACACGACAACTCTTCCAAGTTATCAACTCATTGCCATACTCGTAACCCTTACAAGGGTCACGCAACCCTAGTCAATGTCAAAGTCATACGCATGGTCCAAGTTAACTTTTGGGTCAAAGTCAACATCTAGTTGATTCGACTCACCGAGTTGGCTGGTCAACTCACCGAGTCCTCATGACCACATAATGCCATAATCCCATCCTTACCCGTCGAGTCTAGCAAGAGCTCGACGAGTTCCCCTTCAACAACACCTCGGACAATCTTCAACCGACTCGCCGAGTTCGTCTTCATCCATAAGAAGATGTTCAGTCTATGACTCGCCGAGTTCCTATTGAACTCGCCGAGCCCGTCTTCATAAGTTGGGAGATTGCCTTGGAATCGCCGAGTCTGTTCTTACACTCGTCGAGTCCCATGATTTCCAGGTCCAAAACAAACCCTTATCAGGCTGAGTGTTCCTTCCACTCAACCAAAAACCATTTCCAGGAGACACTTTGGGGAAAAAGCGTCCCGACTCGCCGAGTCCCTCTTTGTCCAACACTATACAGTCGATTATAATGGGTCTTAACGCGTCAAAACCATAGATATGGCCTCCTAGGGTTCATTTTATACGTAACGCTTCAAACTTGATGCATATGCATGGGGCCTTTGGCTCAAAAAGCCATAAAAGATGGTCTATAAGATGCATGGGGTGTTTATGGCAACAAAGTGGGCATCTTTATGCCATAAAGACTCCCAATAGCCCCAGATCTGAAGCACAAACTGACTTCCAACACCCAATCCCGAATACACCCTCTCTAAGACTTAGAAAATGGTGGAAAATGGACCAAAATCAAGATCTACACAAAGAATAGCTAAGGTTCAGCTTTATACCTCCAATAAGCTGGAAATGTGCCCAAAACTCTGGATCGTCCTGATTCCCCTTGATCTCACAAGCCTCCTCCTTCTTTTCAAGCTTCAAACACACAAAGTAACACCTCAAGGCTAAAAAAAACACTAATAACGGCTAGGGTTTCGAGATAATGCTTTCTGGGAGTAATAGGGACGATGGAGGCTGAGATAAGTTGTTTAAATAGGGTGCAAACCCTCCAATTTAGGGTTTCACTCAGACAGCACCTACTCGCCGAGTCGGTCCCCGACTCGTTGAGTAGGCCACTTAAACTTCCCGTGAATCACGATTCTACTCAATGAGTTGGGCCGCCAACTCGTCGAGTCCCAGAGGAAATACATGAAATTCTTTATTTTAATATGTACCAGGAATCGGGTGCTACAAATCTCCTCCACTTATTTTAGACTTCATCGTCGAAGTCTGCTGCTGAATCTGGGAAAAGCTCGGGGTAGTGCTCCCTCATCTCTTCTTCTGGCTCCCAATTCCATTTCGACCCCTTGCGGTGCTGCCATTGCACCTTCACCAGCTCCACCCTCTTGTTCCTCAGATCCTTCGACTTCCTGTCGAGGATCGCCACTGGCCGCTCGATGTAGTTCAGGCTGTCATCCACCTGAATATCCTCCAAGGGCATCACTGCCGAGTCGTCCACCAAACACTTCCGCAACTGGGAGATGTGAAAGGTGTTATGAATCTAACTGAGTTCGGCTGGCAGATCCAACCTATATGCCACCTTGCCCACCCGGGCTACAACCCTGAAGGGTCCAATATACTTGGGGCCCAGCTTGCCCCGCTTCCTGAATCAAATGATGCCCTTCCAAGACGACACTTTCAGTAGCACCATATCCCCCGACCTGGAACTCCAGGTCCAATCGACGCTTGCCGGCATAACTTTTCTGCCGACTCTGAGCAGTCTGAAGCCTGCTCCGAACCTGTTGGATCCTTTCCGTAGTCTTGAGTACCACCTCGGTACTCCCCATGACCCTCTGCGCAACCTCACCCTAGCATATCGGGGTCCTGCACTTCCTCCCATATAACATCTCGAAAGGAGGACGGTCGATACTCGCATGATAGTTATTATTATAAGAGAATTACGCCAATGGTAGGTAAGTATCCCAACTACCTCCAAAATCTAAAACACAAGCCTGCAGCATATCCTCCAGAGTCTGGATGGTCCGCTCGCTCTGACCATTTGTCTGCGGGTGGAAAGCGGTGCTAAAGTGCAGACGAGTACCCAGCTTTTCATGAAACTTCTTCCAAAATCTGGAAGTGAACCGCACGTCCCTGTCGGAAATCACTGAAACTGGCACCCCGTGACGTGCCACTACGTCCCTGATGTAGATGTCGGCCAACTTTTCAGCCGAAATGCTCTCCTGAATCGGAATGAAATGGGCGCTCTTGGTCAATCGATCAACGATGACCCAAATCAAATCTACCCCTCGCGCGGTCCTGGGAACCTTTGTGATGAAATCCATAGTAATATCTTCCCATTTCCACATAGGGATATCCAACGGCTGCATCTTTGTCACACCCCCAAACCAAGGATGGCGGAAACGTCCGGGGGTGGAGGACTTCATGTATAGTATCACAACAACGAGTATAATAGTGCTAAAAGTAAATACAACCATCATAAATATAATTGAAAAGGTTACACCATAGTATATGTTTACATGTTTCAAAATCAATTACATTATGATGACAAAATGAAC